ATATATAGATATGTATATGTGTGTATGTATGACATATTTTGATGTTCAATGTGTTTGTAGCTGATAAACGTTTTTATCAGACAGCAGGTTACATAACGAGAGCAACATGCGCTCCAGATGACGGTGAGGCCAATACTACAACAACCGCAAGGCTCAAAGGTCAACAAGGACATCCGATAATCCTTTATGGCTGTCATGACAACGTGGCCCAGTATGAATTAAACTGTGTTCTCAGCACACCTTGCTTTCATATTTATTCAATATCTGACTCAAGCTTCACGCTAAAAGAAAGATACCTGCCGACGCTAATAACTACATTTCAAGCACAAACTACCAATGTGTGAGATTCATCTGAGTCAATGGGAGGTTTCTTCTTCACTGAACTAGTGTTGAAAATGTACTTCTGTACATATTTGGAGTGTAGCACCTTTCATACAAGTGACTGCAGATTAGGGCGGCAGTTACTTATTATTTCCTCAATAAATCCATTATTTGTTTGGTCTTTAAACGCCACAAAATGTGTAAAAAATAAAAGAAATGAAATCCAGTGTGACATCATCAAATGTCTTGCTTAGACCAAGCAACAGTAAAAATAGAACAAAACACATTGAGGAGTCAGAATATGTGTGGTAATATTCCTTGATAAATGACTAGTGAAATCAATGAATTAATAATATAATATAATAATATTTACACTGTGCCTGCAACTATAACTTTATCTATAAAACCTGCAAATTCAACAAAAAATATGCAAGAGAAATGAAATAAATTGAAAAGTTCATAACCACAGAAAAGAGAGGGTAAAAATAGCTGATTGCTTCATGTATCAGTGAAAAGGAAACTTACAGCACTAACAGGATAACACCCGTAGTGCTGCTGAAACAGAGAACAGGGAAGCTGAGCAAAGCACCTGTCAGACGGGGTTTAAGGGAGTGGAGGTTGGACACACACCAGGGGCAAAGACAGCTGATAGACAACTCTCTCTCTCTCTCTCTCTCCCTCATTTGCCTACAGGCTCTGATAAGCCACAGTGAAATAAAACCATTGGTCGTGCTCGTCTGCAGCCATGTTTGGGATCAGCTCCTCATGTTACTCTGCATGTGCCATCTCTAAATACTGCAGTTGTGGGCACCACAACATTGAAGCTACAAATATTTCTACATTTTAGCCCGATGAAACGACGCCGCATTTAAGAACAAAAGTGACTGAAAAATCAACTTGAAGAACGGATTTACAGTCGGAGCAGCTGAGGGTTCATCTAAAGACAGAGAACTTGAAACTGTTTGACATGAGCAACAGCAGCAATCAAAGACACAAACAAAAGATACATGTTTCTTCCTCTTATAAAGTGAAAAAACACGATCTCAACTGCATAACCTAATGAATGTATTGGGGGGGGGGGGGACAACACACTATTAAAAGCGCTTGTCAAAGTGACCCCAGGACCTATAAATAGAAAGTGATCCCCTCCCTTCCCCAAAACCCCCGCACGCAGGCAGACATGGTGGCAGAAGAGCTGAGTACACCCAGTTCCAACAGAGCAGTGAGACTGGGACATTCGAAGGATTACACACAAAAAACATAATGTGAAATTTAGTAACATGCCGCTTTCACTGCATAAATCTAGGTGCCATTTTTTGTCCACATTGTGAGTCCTTTAGCTCCTGTTTCATGGGGAAAACGACAATGTGAGAGGGGAAATGTCCGATAACGCAACAGGTCCATAAAAGACTTGTCCCTGTATTTATGACACTGCTGTGCCTTAGGGCAGCGTGTGCTCTGCTGTGGGGACAGACAGGGTGTGTCTTGATGAGAAAGGGCAGGCAGATTTGTTTAATCAGAGTTCATATTCCAGTGTACAGTACATCTGCCTCTGTGTTTATTCTTTTTATGACCGCCGTGGTTTCGACACCATTGTCAGCGTTACTGAAAAATGACTGATGACTGACAAGAGCCTTGGGTGCGTCATGGGAAAAGAATGGTCCTCCACATTGTGGCGACATCTCAGAGGACCATTTAATTGCAGGACATAAACTAGCGTCATTTTGCCACCTGAAGTGATGTCTTTGCAACTACATGCTTATCTACTTGAAGTTTAACAACCTGCAGGCTATGACTGCTAAAGCACTTTTTTCTTTGTGCTGTACAGCCACACAAAGAGAGAGAGAGTGTCACAGTGGATGGACTGTGCTCTAAGCTGTGGGTTACCTCGCTCCCTCCTGAGGGCGCACCTGTGTAAAAAAAAAAGAAAAGCTGAACAGGTTGTTCGACATACCGCATGCATATCAGACCGGCATGCAAACGAGCGCAGAGCAACTGTCTGAAACTTAAAAAGTATAAACAGTGTTTTTCTGTCCTGCTCCAGCTGAGCTTCTATCACACTATCAAGAATAAAACATTTCTTGATGTTCCTTCGCTTCCATGACTTGATTATTTTGTCATGATTTGTGATTTTCTAGACCTGCACCAAAAAGGAAATCAACTTGATCAGATCGGAACACCAGACGCGCTTCATTCTTCAAACCCGTGTAGTTTCAATATATTTGAAAGAAAACAGATAGATGTGTTATCATTATCATTGTACTATATCTACTGCTGCTGTTATTATTAGTAGTCGTAGTTTTTCCATCATTATTCTGCTCACTACTCTCATTATATGAATCATTTCTGTCATATGCATTGAATGTGTTGTAACTCTGTTATGTTGTTCGTTCTGTACACATGACATCTATCTCACTTCTGTCCATCCTGATAGAGAGATCCCTTCCTTTTTTTCTCCCCGTTAAAGGAGTTTTTTCCTGTTCCGATGTGAGGGTCCCGGGACAGAGGATGTCGGATGTCGGATGTGTACAGATTGTAAAGCCCTCTAAGGCAAATTTGTGATTTTGGGCTATAAAAATGAATTGAATTGAATAGAGCTGTGCTTAAACGGGTGCTCACCAACACAAGAATACATCCAGACTGAAAATAGCACTGACCTTTTTTTAAAAACTGCAGCTTGAATCATGTCTCACACGAGGACACACGTGATCCGCAATGCCGTATGTGTGAAAGTTACATGTTTATACTTTCTGCGCATATTAATGAGAACATTAAAAGAAGCTGGCTCAATCAAGGAAGAGTCAAAACCACGAGTTGGACCTCAACTCTGTGAATGGCAAGAACAGGTATCTAGTGGTGCCTGTATGTTAACAAAGCTCATCAGATCGGAACTTACTTGACTGTGACTCTCGTGGATAAGTCCTGGAGATCTCCTGGGTGAAAGAGCTGCGCCTCCTTCAGTCCGAGCTTCTTGCAGGCTTTGAGGAAGACGTTGAGGTTGTCCTGGACAGAGAACAAAGCGGGGATGAGGGTTGTCCACCTCCAGGAGGCGAAGAATAATCACACAAGAATTCTCTGGCAGGGGACGCAGCCTAAACTCACTGATTCCAAAGTTCACATAGCCAGAGAGCAGAGACAGGATGGGGAGGAGCATGTGTGTGGCAAATAAGAAGTGGCCCAGTGCAGAACACACACACACACAAACACACACATGCGGGAGGGGAAGGGAGGGGAGAGGCTGTGTGACAGGAGCTGACTGGCAGCAGCAAAGCTACCTGTGGGCTGGGTTAGGGTGGGGACACAGCCTCAAACCAGGAAGGATGACATCAGAGCTTTGCACAAGTCCCACCCAACCGGCCATGCCAGTGTAAAAACACTGACACACACACACACACACACACAATGCCGGCTACGCTCTCCTTCTCCTCACACCCTGAAACCGTCCCCTCCCCGTCGAGCCCTTCACTCGAGAATACCTGCGGAATCTGCGGTGCGGTGGAGTATTTTGGAGACATTTGGTTGCTATGATACAGGAGGTCGGTTGATAGACACCGACGGGAGGACATGGGCGTGTCCTACACTGTGTCAATCATTTTATACTGCGTACAGTTTTATATGTGTGCACATAATTGGCACAGATGTGGGAGAGTGATGCACAATGGCAGAAAGACATGTTCTATAAATATACATGCGTTTAAAAACTCGTCTGCGACCACAAGAAAAACACCATTCCTTTCAGGGGTTATGACTTCTCCAGTTCTAATCCCGAGTGTCTTGTTCGTAAGTCAGCACTTCACTGGGACAGAACTCCTTAGGAGGGTTTCATGTAATGACACATGGCCCCAACATGGACTGGAATAATTAAGGGGTAGCTAGTTCTATATTTAAATGGCAAACATGCTTATTAGCAAATGCTAGGGACAGTGTTGACCTCTCTGTGCAGGAATCCCTCACTAACAGCTTTGCTTGTCCCTTAACGGCACTTTGTCAGGCCCTAGGGGTCACCGTGGGCCCCGTACAGGCCAAGGATCAACCCCCCCCCCCCTTCTCTGTCAACAGGCACTGGGGTCACAATTTATTCATTATAACACAGAAGATATGTTCTCCTCCTCTGCTTTCTCCTGGTAATAGACATGGTAATGGCATATTTCCAGATAGGTGCAGAGTAGAGTAACTGCTAATGACTTGTCGAGGTTTATCGCATACAGTGAGCGCGACCTTCATCTCTCTCCCCATGTGTCCCTGCGACATCGTTCACAAAAAGAAATCATGCGATTAATCGCGATTAAAAATTGTAATCGTTGCCCAGCACTAATATATATATATAATATATATTACATAATCTACACATATACAAAGAATGGTGACCTCAATATTTACTGATTTTTAAAGTACAAGAAATTTGTCAGTGCTCTCTGGTGGACAATCTATGCAACTGTGACACGCAGACATAATCGCTGGTCATTTCCTGTTACTTATCGACCGACACATACGGAGAGACAATAATAAAAAGCTAATAGCGACCGATATATTGGTCCAGATAATGTATTGGTCTGGCTCTAGATACCACTTTTATTTTTTGAAAGAATGCAGCTCATAAAAGACCATTGAGCTCTTTTTGCGACCAGGCCCCTAGTCGAGCCCCTGTGAAGCCAAGACTCACCATAATCCAATGTAATCAAGGCCTATGTAAAAGTCTCGTTAATATCACTTAGGTCTGAATGTCATTTGAACTCAAAGAGCATTATGAACACACTTAAAAGCCCCCCCCCCCTGCCCTCCAAACGACCAGCCCCAGAACATGCAGAGATAATGATGTTGAAGGAATGTTATGCTGATTTGTGCCTGCACATAATCCTGCTAAATATGCTGCACCCATCCAGCAGCCTCCTAATCCTCATGCAGACTCGAGGAACCCCCTGATGTTAAGCACTTTCGCACCGAGAGACGGAAAGACTTGGCTTGTAAGGTGTCCGATTCGGATCCCTACCGGTCCCTCTGTTTCTTCCACTGCATTCTTTGTCTAAGATGTGCATACTCTACATTTACCCTCCAGTGACCCCTTTGGCAGCGCAGAAATCACCAAGCAAAAGCTATGGTTAAAATATCAGGCTACGCCTTTCCAAGTCCTGTGACAATAAACCCAGAAGAGATGGAATACTGGAAATGTTGCTTCTCCTGAAACGGACCCAATGAAAGACCCCCCGCCCCCTTTTCCCCCAGCTGTCGGATCCAGACATAACACGCACCCATACAACACAAACAGTGACAAAACGCGGTGGGATGCCTGTCATTGCTCGTATGATTACACAGACATTTAGAGGAGTAAAGACACCCTCGAGGGTCATTGGAACCGTCTGTTTATCTCCTCCCACTGCCACCTCAACTCACCAAGGAGTTGGTGTATGCGGGAACATCCAGCAACATGCCAATTACAGTGCCTTTACGGTGGGCAGAGGCCGATGGAGTCTTCTTTGACTCCGTCCCTCTCTGGAGTCAGCCCAGTGGGCCTCAGATCCGGAGCCCCCGCTCACGTAGCTAGCCGCCCCGACTGCACAGCTGTCTACTTCCTGCTTCAGCACCGGTCAGAGCGGGACAGGGGGCCACGGGCACCAGGGTGCCATGGCCCAAACCCACAGCTCGCTGACTGCTCAGCAGCAGGCAGGAGAAGTGTGTTGACATGGGAAACATTCCCTTGGACACAAGCGAAGCCAAGGAATAGGCCCGGGTCTGGAGCCAATGTTGCTAAATATTCCATAAAACCAGAGATTTCCGTTTTGCTTTTTTCCCCCCTCTCTTCCCTCCCTGAGCTTCTTACTCTGCTACAGCTGAAGCCTGGTGCCGATTTGAGCGCTGAATCTTTCAGATAGCAAAACTAAATCCACAGTTATGACCATAATGCTAGGAAACGTTCATGTTTGAGCGCTAATGAGGCATGTTTGCAAAGAGCCTTGCATTGGGCGGCGATTCAAGTTATATTGTATCTACATTACAGACGGATTACTCTTACTCTGAATTTCTTCCACGTGCCATTTAGACTGTTGAGCATGCTACAAATTTCCAGTTTCCTCGTCTCTGACAACATTTAGTGGAGATGGATAGCATACATGAGGACAAATCCGACACAATAATCCTCACCATTTGGAGACAATTGGCTAAAAATATACAATCACATGATGATTTCACAATGTCAGAGATCACAGCTAAAATTTTTATTTTTAAACACTTAATTTCAACACTCAAGGTGAGACACTATGGGCAATAACATGTTTGGAAAGAAAACATCCAAAATACACATTTGGGTGTACGCAAATATTTGCGTCTGTAGATAATCTCCCATTCCCCAAACATTTGCATTAGATAATGCCTCATTTGCATATTTAAACATACATTCGTTATTATTCATGGTGATGAGAGACAACCTCAGCAACACTACCTGAATACTTTGGGAGAAAAAGCTTTTCTCACACAGCAGAGTGAGAGAGAGCGAGTAATGTTTGTTTTTTGGAGAGCTCTCCCCTTTTCTCCATGTGGTTGGCAGTAACTGATCGCCGCGGGCCAACCGGGAGCCTTCACATTCGCTGGAGAATTTATGATCAGGTGGTTTCGGGTTTTTGTCCAAGTGCTCGGAAATACCACACCGACGCTGCCGACGGAGGACACACTCACACTGTACCTCATTACCTCAGCAGGTGTCCAGCCAGTTGTACTACTAAGGGTTCAAAGCAAACTGGCAGTAAATTTGATTTATGTGATATCCCAGATATGACGGCACAGTGTTTGTTAACGCAAGTACTGTGTTTACTGTTGACGTCGAGCATGAATGCCAGTCTGTTTCTTCTACTTGTCATTGTCCTGCCAAACATGTTGAGCGTTACTGAGCCCACCGCTGTACACTCAGACTGGCTGGGTTAAGGTTGGGGTTCTCTGTAATTCCTCCAGACAGCTGGACCCAATTACTCCCACAAGAGAGAGCTTTGTGAAGGATGGGTTTAAGGTAGGGTTTTCAACCCTCTACTTCCCGAGCACTTGTGTGCAGACACTCCCAAAACATTTACTCCACTGTGGGCCAAAAGGCCTCTGCCACGAGCTGCCTCAATTTGAAGACATTGCCGCGTCTAAAAAGGTGAAAAGGTTTGAAAGCACTGATTCAATAGCAGGTTGTTACGTGAGCCAAGCTCTGCCCTCGTCTGACCTCCTGTCACTCAATCAAAAACTTAATTATCCTCACCGGCACAAAGACTTTTCTGTCTGAAATGACTTTGACTGAACGCAGCCTCAAGCATGGCAGACATCATATTTAGGGTGCGCTCAAAGGCGGCCAGCGGCATTTCAAGCAGTTCTGCGTTTGCCGAACTTATTAGTGCGGACGGATATGAGGAGCGACAAGTCACTGAGGCAAACACCTCTCTCCCATTGGCAGCCGTGCTTGAGCATTTGTACATCAGTAGTAACAGGAGACAAAACCGTGTACGAAGGAAACTAGGATGAGCTGTTGAGGATATGTACCCTTTGATGGGAGACACCCCGGGTACAAACATAGTTGCTTTCATGCACTGATCACTTTTCAGATTTTGGGCCATTTTGCTTGTTTTCTTTCAGAACATTCAAAATATTTGACCCTATTCTGCTATATGTAACTGTTCTAAATGTATAGAACAGTCTTCAAAGTAGAAGCCCGTTCCTTTAAATTTCAACTAAATGTATGGATTTTGGCAGGCATATGTATCATGTCCAGACTTTTAAAAAAAGGCTCTTGGAATGATACCGCAAAGCCAACAGTAAGTCAGCCATTTTGAATTTTCTATGTAGCATTTGGGTTTCCTCTAAATGATCACATTTTTCTCAGACTCTGAGCCAGACATCTCCACTTGAGTAGCACGATACACCAAACTTTCCAGTTTCAACATCCATATTCTGAAGGTTTTTATTCCTATAAACATGGCTGTTGACAGTATTTTCTTATTTAAGAAGTGATACAAAGTGATATCCAAAATTCCCTCTGTAAAAACCTTTGACTCTAAAATGTCAACAACATTTGAATCTGACTTTGTTCAATGGTCAGATGTCTGTTCTGGAGATTAGCTCATATTTGATAAGATAATGCCTCATTTGCATACTTAAACAGACAGTTTTCGGAAAACTGAATTCCCTTAATGTTAGTAATCAGTTGGGGCAGTTTGATGTAGATATCTATTAGTTAAATATTGTACCCTATTCACGAGCACCTCCACTTAAATACAATGTACATGCAATGCCCTCTGCCTCACATTTAAGCTGAATAAAAAGAGACTTACCAGTCCAGCAATAGGTGTGGGCAGCCTGTTAACCCTCCTGATGACACCAGGCTTGATCTTGTTGATCAGACTGCGAGCAAAAGAAAGAGAGGGACAGCATCAGGGAAAGGAAGAGGGTAAGTGAAAGCACTCGGTCATTGGCTAGTCTGGTCTCACTAACAAGGAACGAACAAAACGTGTTGCAAAGTCTCTGTGTTGTGTGTTTATGACTTTGTTTAATGGCGGCCACCTGGCTTCTGTTTGGTAAATGGCTAGTGGTGCACCGTGATGTAAACACGCTAGGGTCCCCGGCTCCTGAAACATACCCTCTTCTGTTGGAACAACCCCAAACAAACAGGAATCACCACAGACCAGCTCAGAAAAACTGCTATGGTTTTTCATAGATGATGGTGCTTTTCAAAGGGTTCCTTTGGTCCAAGAGGTCAAAAAAAAAAAAAAAACTACTTTTACTACTAATAAAAGAAGTAATGCCACAGTGTACATTTTTTTACAGGTGCAAGTCTTACATTCACAAGTAAAATAGCAGAGGAATTAGCAACAAAACGTACTCAGATTATGGCTACAATTTACAAATTATCCGCAAATTATTTCCGTGTTAATGTTTTGCTCTATGAAATATAAAACACCATGAAAGTGAAAAATTCCTGTCACAATAAGAGCTCATGGCAATATCCTCAAATGTCTTGTTTTGTCCAACCAACAGTCAAAACCCTAAAATGAGTCAATTAACCACAATGCAGGAAACGAAACAGCTGCAAATTCTCCCATTTGAGAAGTTGGAACAGTTAAAAGTTTGCTATTCTTTTTGCTTGAAAAGCGGCTCAAACAATCAATCGATTATCAAAATAGTTGCCGATTGATTGAGCAATCGTTGCAGCTTGAACTCATAGCATCAAAAGTAATAGTGCTCCTTTCAGTGTTATATTGCCACATCATTTATTGGACATTTTTCATATTTGGTCCTTTGTTTTTTTTATGTAACGTCTTAATCTTAAATATCTTTCTGTTGTTTTAAGAAAAGGGACACATGTTAAAGTGTTAAAGTGAGTCTTCTGCTCTCAGTACAGCAGACAGACTGGGGTGTGGGGTGGGGGGGTATTTTGTATGGGTTGACAATAGATGCAGAGAAAGAATGCAACGGGAATGTGATTTTAAGTTAGTCATTTTGCGGTGAAACAATAGAAAGCAGTGATGTGTCACCAGATAACACACACTGTAAGCCAAGTAGGATGTAATCATGTGTGCGACCCGCACTAAACATTCCTCCCCGAGCAGCTGTGATAACCACAACACAATGGGAACGGAGGCCGAGTATCTAGGTGAAAGCGGTTTTAATCTCGGCCCACCTCTTCCTCGCGCTGAGAGAACGCGGACAGCCCCCCCCCCCCCCCCCCCCCCCCCCCCCCCCCCCCCCCGCAGAGACAGCCCGGCCCCCCCCCCCCCCCCCCGCCCCACAGCGTCTCCACGCAATCAGTGGAGTCAGGCCCGGATCAGCAGAACGAGTCACTTTCTCCTTTAAACGATGCTGATTGAGGTTTAGCAAGATTCTGCATGGGCCGCTGGTAATTACAGCTACCCGCTGATGCGTGCAAATCACATCGCTGTGTCCATCCACCGGGGCGGCCCACACACACACACACACACCAATGTATAAAAAGGGACATGATGCTAACCCTATCACACACACACACACAAACACAAACACATCACTGATATGAGAGAAGCCACAACTCTTAGCAGAGCAGTCGGTGAATCGATGCAAAAGCCAATTCTGGGTAGATCAGGCAGCAACTTTCACTTATGAAAAGTGAAGCCAATGCTGAAGTGTCTTTAACTTGCATTCTTTCTAATGGCCAGCAGGAGGCGATTGTATAGAAGTCTATGAGAAAATGACTCTACTTCTCTCTTGATTTATTACCTCAGTAAACATTGTAAACATGAGTTTATGGTCTCAATCTCTAGTTTCAAGTCTTCTTCAATACAGCATGATGTTCATTTAGTAAATTATGGTCCATTTAGAGTCAAACAGACCATAAAGCAGGGTATGATTTAGGGCGGGCTTACTGTGATTGACAGAGACGTCTCTGAAATCCAAGATGGTGACGGCCAAAACGCAGAATTGAAGGCTTCAAAACGTCCACAAACCAATGTGTGACTATGTATACTTCTTATCTAAAGTCTATGGCATTGATAAATTTGCATCTCTAACTCATCAGAACTCTCTCCACACACTACACGGCTTCTCATTAAAGTAAAGGAAGGCACTCAACAGATCTGTAACATCTGTCAAACACAAACTCCTCTTGAAATAGATCACGCTCCGCATCCTCAAACAGTTCCACAGAGGGCAGATACGACACCGGAGGCATCAAATGACCACACAATGCAAGCCCCATTGTGCTGTCTGGAAACAGTGTCTGGCTCACTTCATGTGGCTGACAAACAAACAGCGGCCCAGCGGGGAGTCCGCCTGGGAAATATCAGCAACACTTACGCTGGGGTGCAGAACCTGGAGGAGAGCAGGAGGGCTTCCACAGGAATGAATGGCTCGACAGAGGCGCTTGGGGAAAGTACTTACTCACACAGCAGAACTCCATTCTCCAGCGCTGATCGGAAGTCGTCGCTCCCGAATCTTTTCTTGGTTACTGCCTGGAAAAAAAGAAAGAGAAAAAAAAGGGATACAAAAAGAGTGAGCAAAATAGCGAGAGGGGCTGTGTGAGGAGAGGAGGCGGGGGTTAGTGTGTGTGTGTGTGTGTTTATGTGTGAACGGGGTGGGGAGGTTGGAGAAGAAAGGTAGGATGTTGAGAACAGTAGCAGAGGAAGTGAGAGGTATTTCCTTTGAGTTCCTACAGTGTCTCCGGGACAGAGTTGAGTCTCGCGGTCCTTCAGGTATTCCTCGGGAGACTCACCATTCTCCTCACTTCGGTGCTAAAAGTCGCTGGTAAACTGGAGAGCTGCGCTAAAACCGTGCTGGAGCCAGGCTGCCCAAAGACCGCAAGGCTACGGGAGCATCTGGAGCGCTGTGTTGTAGCCTCATGCCTTTCCCATGATCTCAAACCACCACTGCGTGGAACACCAAGAGTCATTATGCAGGCTGCGTGCAAGTGTGACGTCCAGCCACACACACATGCACGTACACAGTAGACACACATGAGACAAACATCCTGGGTTTTAAACACAACACATACAATTGTAGCCTTTCATTCATGCAATCTGTATTTCCTTTAAAAGGCAATAATGATATTGTTTTCTTAAAATGTTTTCATACTTTGTTATGGGATATCAAAGTCACGCTGATGGCCACTCCCTCACACAAACTTCCTGAATTTTTCCACCAGCAACGTCTTGACAAACCAGCACCTGAGCTGCTAAATCCAAAACAAATCACAACACAATTAGAGTGTATACTTCTACCAGTTCTGCACAATCGTCTATATTTTATTATTTTAGAAAATATTAATAGTTTTAAAAAATCTGGATGTGCATTAATAAAGAAAAGAGAAGACATTTATGCATGGATGCATGACATTTTTATATTGTAGATAATACAGAAGTAGCAAAAGAAATGCTCAGAAATGCTTTGCAATGTGTGGAAAACATTTTGAGACATCCTCGATCTGGATCCGTCCCAAACACTAACCGATTGGCCCACGGCCTGACTTTCACCACACGTTACACTGAAACCAGTTTCTGAGATATTATGCTAAATGATCCCAGTCAAACAAACAACCCAAGACTACTGATGAGTTATGAAACACCCTTCATTGACATTATACGCACCGCCAGGTGTTTGACTTTAAGTCTTTAGTTTACGTTACCAACAGGGAAGATGAGCACACATATAGGCCATTACAGTGTAAGTACAGTAATATAAGACAGCTGCCATTAAACAAAGCACACACACACACACACACAAACACACGCACAAGGCAAAACAAGTCAAACGGGTCTGACAAACCAAATTGGTCAGATGTGCCTTTTCCCTTTGAAGGGAAAGGGACAAAAGCTGGGACTATTACTGGCACAGCTAAGTACAGGCTGTCACTTTTCGGAAAGAGAAACCGGAGCAATAGAGACTGACTGTATTACACTGTTATTATTGTATTGTTTCACACAAAGTCCTGCTACACCTCTGACCACACCCTGGGTAACCTGAGCTGGCCTCAAATACCCATCATTCCAAGGGAATTAGACACATTCTGTAATAGAGGACAGAGATTCAAGCTCTGACACACTGTCTTTGCACAATGCCATCAAGCCATCGTCGGGACATTCTTGTTACCTGCTGCTCCTTCATTGACAAAAATACAAACACAACCAGACGCTGAATACAGGGAACACAGACGGACGGGCGAAACACACAAACACACACACACGCACACACACACATACTGCATTCACGCACAGAAAACAAAGTTCACAGTGCAGTTAGCATATGCAATCCTGACCCCTGCTGTTCTTTGGGTGCGGCTGGGATTCGTGTACGAAAACAAACAATACAGGTGGAAACGGTGTCAAACATGTTCCCTCTTTCACTGGAGCTCACTGGAGGTGTGTGATAGGACAAGAAACAGAGTGAATGTGATAATCAAGATATTATCTCCCCGTCCTTGCGTGGAAGGTGGGACCCACCCACAGAAGCTCGCGCTGAGCCGACTGTAACAGAGCAGGTTTCTCCTCGTTATCATCATCATTAGAGGAATTAACTGCCCTCAGATCCAGATCCAGCCCCCCCCTTCCTGTTGGACCCCTAATCTGAACCAACATACTGCTGCTCTGATGTAACGGTGGAGATTTAAGGCAGAGGGGGCAGAGATTTAAAAAAAAAAAAACAGCTTGCCGCAAACTCCACTGTCGCTCCCCTCAAGAATGTGGTCCTCAGAATTCCTTTCGGGCTCGTAAGGTGCATGCGTGAAATGAATTATTATCAGTATTATTGCAATGTACCCAAGAATAATGTCTCGGTAGAACACACACAATCAGAGGAACTGAGGGTTTTTTCTCTGCGTCTGTGACCACAACTATTGTTTATTCATGCAGGGCACTGAGGCAAATTGGCACTCAAGGTTTGTGCGGATGCACCCCCCCTCCACTAATTGTTCCTAAAAATTCTTCTGCAGAGGACAGGCGCGTGGGTCGTCAGAGGGCAACTAGGACACTGTCCACATATTTCGGGAATCCGACTCAAGAGGCAGGAGCCGTCGGTGACGACGCCATCGACGTTGTCAGGACATCAGCATTCATTTAGCAACCTTTTTTTCTGAAACCATAAAAAGCACTGGAACAGATGAGGTCTAATAAAACAGTTATTAGATAAGTAATTTAGCTGGTGTTCATAACAGACTGCGTTTGTGTTTATATGCATGATCTTCTGACCTGTAAGTTGCACAAACACTGCCACTTGTTCCTGCTCGTCAACACTTACACGGCCTCTCCTATTCAATTAACAAGGACCTCTATTATTCCGCCGGGCCCTGCGGTTGTAGGATGCAGCGGCCGGCGCTGGCTCTGTTCACAGCCATGGCAGCAGCTAATGCAGGAATGTGTCCATGTGACAGGCTCCAGACCATTTAGTCTAGTTTTTTTTAACAATACCACCAACCTCGCCGTGCACACATGCCTCTGTTTAAGGCGCTATGAAGCCCGAGCAGTTTGTTAATCATTCAGCGGCAGAATCCAAGAGAGGGTCAAGTGTGCCAGAATCGCTGCGTACTTGTTTCCATTACGCCAAAACCCCTCTCCCGCACTGTTAATACACTCGGCCTGCACCTTTTACCTTTTCCACTTGCTTC